GTTTTTTTTTTTTTTTTTTTTTTTTTTTTGGGGGTGGGGGGGGGAGAGAGAGAGAGAGAGCGAGCTACAATTGTTGCATACAAGTTTTAAGAGTGATTCAATATGCATCAGAACTGTTGCACACAACTGCTGCATGAACTCTTGGTTTTGTATAAAAACTCAAGAAAGACCTTAAGCACAAAGACAGCAGTTACTTGTGGTGGGGAGAGAGAGAAAACGAGCTACAACTGTTGCATACAAGTTGTAAGAGTGATTCAATATGCATCACAACTGTTGCACACAACTGCTGCATGAACTCTTGATTTTGTATAAAAACTCAAAAAAGACCTTAAGTACAAAGGCAGCAGTTACTTGTGGTGAGGTCGTCGCCAATCAGAACTCAAACTTCTACTCAAATTTGAGTGAAAAGCTTAATTTTGATATAGACCCGTCCAACGCGGAAACACACATTTTTAAACAAAAATTTAATAAGTTCCATTATTCTCCCAACACCCTATTTCTAACATTTTTTTTCCTTCAAAACCTTTTTCCCTATTCTCTTTCCTCTACTTCTTTCCCTCCAAAACCTCTTTCCCTCTACTTTGTTAGATTTCTCAAAGCTTGGAGAATCCTCAAACATTCCATAATCATCTATTGCTTGAACTTTGAAGAAAAAAGTACAGAAACAACAAGACAAAAAAGAACATAGTAAAATGAGAGATAATTTAAGTACAAGATTGGGGCTGCATACAAGTTACATGCAGCAAGAGTGATTCAATATATGTTAGGACAAGAACTACTAGCCCAACAAACAATCAAAAATCAGCAAACAATCAAAAAACCAACAAATAATAGACAAGTTTGATTGATATATTAATGATTCAATCAATCGACAAGTTTGCAGCAATAGAACAAACATAAACCAAATGGAAAATTTACGTAAGAAACGTTAACCAGGTAGAAAGTTTTTGGGCATTAATAATTCAGAACTGTTCCAGATTCGTTAATTTATAGCCTACGAAGCACGGACATGGACACGGATGTGACACGGAGATACAGCAAAATTCCAAAATATATGACACCGGTATGGCTAGGATACAGCTAATTAAAATAATATTTTATATATTTTCTATATATATAATAACAATTCCATAATAGAAAGTCAGCAACTACCCTGATTTGTGTGAGTGAGTTTAGTGAACAAAATAATCCCCAAAAACATTGTTCAAACAACAAAAAACCCAAAAAGAGTTCCAAAATTGCAAAACCCTAACCCAGTGAAATTCATAAACCAGATCATTCAAAACTATAGAGAAAAATTAATGCAAAAAATCAACCCCAAATCATGCAAACCACAAATATTCCTAAGAGAAGCCAAAAATGAAACCTGATTGGCGATTACAGAAGCATATTAGGAAAAATGTGTAGCAGGCCAATAACGAAAAGACCAATGCTTAGCCTGACTAAGCAAGAAATAGTCGAAGCAGACCAATTGACAAATCAAGAAATTGTCAAAGTAATAAATCAAAGTGCAGCAGTCTAGTAATCTACATATTATCAGCAAAGTGATAATGTGATCAATGTTGAAATAGGCCAAAATTTATACAATATCAACAAAGTATAAAGTAGCAGAGAGACCGAGATAGATGTACCTGCAGACTGAGTGAGTGAAGCCAAATCATCAATGAAGAGAGTCGCAGGTCGTAGCCTCTCAGGCTCTCACTCCTGCCTTCTTAGTTTGCGAGATATATGATTGAGTGAGAGTCGCAGCGCAGAAAGAGATTATGAAAGCCTGAGAGTCGTCGAGACCGAGCGACGAGGGAGAGGCAAAGCAAATTAGGGCAAAAAGGCCCAAAAACTGGATTTTATAGCATTTTAAATGACCCCGCCCGGTCTGCCAACACCGACTCAGGTTTAAAAGCAGACATTGATTCAACGATCCAGGCCCTAGGGGAACCTAAACACAGTTTTTGTTATTCTTGGCTAGAAGGAACGCAGCGATGCATCTCTTCCGATGTTTTAAAATCTGGCCCGGACATCAATTTGGTGAAGGACCGAGTCAATGAAATATTGGTTTAATCGTTGGATCACCGGTAAAATTGATAATATAATAAAAAATTAAAAAATAATTATAAATAGGTTAAAAATTTCCAATAATTATAAAAATAACATCAAACATATAAAGTTAAGAAGAGAAAAATTATCAAACTTGTATCCAATTTCAATGTATTCAATTTTTAAAATAGTTTTAAATTTTAAATTATAAACTAACAGTCTAAGATAAAAAAAAAAAAATAGATCAAATTTTCTACCAATATGAATTTGAGTAGTGTGATACCAATAATAACATAAACCAAGTAATTTAAAATCAAATTGCTAAGTGTATATCTATGGCACCTATCAAAAAAAGAAAAGAAAGAAAAGAAAACATTAATCAAAATTTGATCTTAGATCAAGCAAACACATGGACAACAATAATAGCATAGATTTCACAAGAAATTTAAGAACAAACAAATTGTCAGTGTATATTTGATCAAATCACAATCCACAAGTAAATACACATCTCAAACGAGTTTTCAATACAACAAAACCCAAATCAAACTTGAGCTCTAATTGCACCAAAATCCATTTTATTTTCACTATATTTTCAAGAAACATGTGTTAAAACAAACAAAGATTCGGCACATAAAAGCCCCAAACGCCAACCATAAACCATATATATATATATAAGTGGGTCAAAAGGAACTCAAAGGACTTACAGTTAATGGAGTCACTAGACTAGAGAGAGAGAGAGAGAGAGAGAGAAAAAAAAAAAAGAATTGGATGTTGATCGTTGCTGATGGTGGTCAGTCGCTGCTCTGGAGAAGGGCAAGGTGGTGGTCACTGACTCACTGGTCAGTCGTTGTTGCTCTGGTGGTCAGTCGGTTGGTTTGGTGGTGGTCAGTCGGTTCGGTTGGTGGTGGAGAGACGATGTGGTGTGTTGTGTGCGACTCTAGTCTGGAAGTGGCGGGTGGGATCAATTTAGTTAGGGCAACAAATGAACAAACAAAAGGGGGAAAAATGTCAGATTTTAGAAATCAACTTAAACCGACCGGTTCTAATAGATTCGTCCGGTTCACACTGAGTCGCCGGGGTTTGGCCGATTCAACAGGTTTATGCCGAGTTCTGTACACAAACGATTTTTTATTAGAACTGGCCCGGCTAGGGGACCGGTTCGCCGGGCCCGCCGGACCGGGGCGGGGTTTTAAATTACTGATCTCTCCTTCGTGTAATCCTCGAAGACCAAAAGAAACTAAAGTTAGGCTTAATTAAAAATGAATTGAATTTATTAAATTTGACTATGGTATGTTCCTTTCAAATTTATTATTGTAATTGATACTTTTATAATTTTTTAGGTTATTTTAAAACTACAAAATTTATTATTTTTATCACTATTATGATAATTATTTTTACAATTTTTCTTGATACAAAAAAATTATTACTTTTTGTGATGTTTTTATCGTAATTATGGATATTTTTACCACTTGTATGGTAATTATTTTTATTACTTTTTTCAATATCACAAAAGTGATAAAAATATTCACCATTGTAATAAAAATACTCACAAATATAATAAATATTAATATGATACTGAATTTTTTTCCCCAATAGTATAGGCAACTCCTACTTTATCAGATAATCAAAAAGAGACCTGTAAAACATCATTAATCAACTGATTCAATCCTGATAAAAAAAAAAACTTATTCAATCAAATGAACAGTTTTATGATGAAAAGGGGGGAAAATATAAAAGGAACTCTAATTAACCCGGACAATAATGCGATTAGGTTTGTCAATTAGAATGGATCTTAATTTGAATTAAAGTCTATTTAATTGTATATTAATTAATTTTAATTTGTTTACTTGAATTTTATTAAATTTCTTTAAATGAATTTGAATTTTAATATAGATAAATCTAATATGATATATATATATAAAGAGAGAGAGAGAGAGAGAGTAGCGTATATCATGGAAGTTGTGCACTATAACCCATAGTAGAAATTTTGTATGTAAATTGTTGGATCACGATCCAACAACTACTAATCGAAGAAGACCAAAATTTAATGCAAGTACCTACTAGTATAAGTTTGGCTCCCAACTAAAAATGAAATCTCAATAGCATATTAATTATAATTCAAATTCAATTAGGAAAGTCTATTTAATATTTTAAAAATTAAATCTGTATAAGATAATATTTTTTATTTTTTTTGAATCTTATTGAATAGTATAATGCCAATGGGATAATGAACAAACTAAATTTCTAGATTGCATAAACTAGGCTAAGAATCAAAATAAGCAAATTTACATGCATGTGTCCAGGTTAATCTATGTTTAGCGAACAAAATCCCTAATATGACGATAGAATAAAAAGTAAAGTTTAGTGGGTAATTCATGAAAATACAACAATTTTTAATAGAAGACTCATCAAAATGTATACTTTTGAGTACTATAAGAACCAAATGCTATAATTTTTTAATTAAAGATAAGAAAAAAAATACAAAACAATAGTATATAGCAATCTCAATTCAAAGTATGAAGAATATTAGGATACATCTAGTAGTACTATCAACACATCAACATAAACTAATGAATTATTGCATATGACAAATTATTGAGAGTAATCCATCTGATACTATTTTGTAAGGGTAAAAAAAAATAAAAATTTATCAACTCCAAAAGTTATAATTTTACGAAAATGTAACAAACTTTTCCAATAGGACTAGAATTACCATTAATATACTATTGATATTTCCTTTTTAATTAGGCTAAATTTCACTGACACCCCCTAAATTTAAGTCAAATTTCGCTAACACTCTTTATAATTTTTGAATTGTTACTGCACTTCTGCACACCCTTATAACTTATACACACGTTTCAGAAACTATCCCTTACCGCCTATTCCGTTTTTGACTTGCAAAAAAGTTTGTTACGTGATGATTAATTTTTCATGATTTACCTATTTTAGCCCCTGGTTCTATATATAAATAAAAAAATAAACAAAATAATTTTTGCTATTTGCGTTTGAAATAACGACTTATATTAACACCCTAAATTTAATATAAAAATAAGCCCCTGAAGGTGTATTTGTGATGACTTTTTTAAAGTACTTCTACAAATTATTTCTTATAAGTATTTTAAAAAAAATAGTGATTGAAACTGCCCCACCGCTACCTCCACCTCCACCCCCACCACCACCACTGTCGTCGTCGCCACTGTCGCCCACCACCTCTCACCCCCACTACAACCGATACTTAAATTCATTTATCTCTCCTCTATGTTTGTAATTTAATTTTAGATATGAATACAAATATATTTATTATTTACACAGACAATAACTAATTATGTTAATATGATGTCATCTTATTCTCTGTTTCTATTTAAAATAGTAGACATTTCTTACTGTCTCAACTACCATCTACAATATGAGAGTTGGTCTACAAGACCAACATAAGTTCAATGTCAATTTGACGAAATTGAGGGCAAATTTGGTTTTAATTTGATGAAATTAACTATCAATGTGGTGTTAATTTGATAAAATTAATTGTTAATAAAATAAAATAAAATGCTAATTTAGTGATACTAAATAATAATTTGATAAAATTAAAGTTTATTTTGGTGTTGATTTGATGAAATTGAATTTTAATTTAGCGTTCAATTAATAAAATAATTTTAATTTGATAAAATTAAATGTTAAAGCGACAAAATTAATTTTTGGTGTTAATTTGATAAAATTTAATTTTAAAACTAATGAAATTAAATACTAATACAATGTTAATTTTTTTTAAAAAAAATTGAATAATAATTGGATAACATTGAATGTTGATTTGATAAAATTAAAGGTCAATTAAGCATTGATTTGAAAAAATTGAACGTTCATATGATTTTAAACTAATAAAATAACACTAATATTAATAAAATTGAATGTTCGTGTGATGAAATTAAAAGTCTATTTAGTGTGTTATTGATGAAATTAAATATTAATATGATGTTTAATTTAATAAAGTGATATTAATTCGATAAAATTAAATTTTAAATTGATAAAATTGAATAATGGCTTGGTGCTAATTTGATAAAATAGTAATTGGATGAACTTTAATTTCAACTTGATGAGATTGAAATTTAATTTTACAAAGCATAGTGTCCATCCGACAAAATTTAAGATCAATTTATTGTTATTAATGAAATAGAATATCAAATTGGTTAAATTAATGGTTTATTTGAGAAAAATTGAATATTTATTTGATGAAATTGGAGATCAATTTGATGTTAATTTGATAAAATCGAATATAATGTTTTTAGTTGGGTAAAATTGAATGACAATTGGGTGGATGCAATGTTAATTTTATAAATTATATGTTTATTTGAAAAAATTCAATGTTAATTTCAAGAATTTGATGGTCACTTTTGTATTAATTTGATAGAATCGAATATTAATTTGATTAAATTTTATTTGAGTTGAAAATTTTTAATATTAATTTAATAAATTTTACTATTAATTTTGTATAATCTGATGTAATCATATTAATAATGATAGTTTATGAAATAAACACATAAACTCTTCTCATAAGCCAAAAAAAAGTTTTATAATCTAGTAATAGGGGTAAAAATGGAAAAAAATGTAATAATACGTAGAAGTCCCGGTATGTATAATATAGTAAAATATTATTATTGACAGAAATTATTATATATACATATATACTTAGTTATATTATTAATGAGATTGACATGAAATTAAACAGAAAATATTAAATATAATAATCGGTTAATTAAATTAGGCTGAAAGTTAACTTAAATTTGATAAAATTATTATTATTTTTTTTAAAAAAATTATTGGAATTTAAAATTTTAGATTAGATTAGATGTTTGATTATTAACCGATACAGATATAGATTAAGATTTTAAAATTCATCTGATAAACGGATCGAATTCGAAACTTAAATTTTTTATTAAACTCAGAACTAGAGAGATGAAATTCTAATATAAATCCGATCCATTGGGAACCTTAACTGTGACCTAGTTTCAATTATTCTATTAGGATCACAAATACAAAACTACAGCACTGGCCACTAGTACACTAACGCAAGCTACAGTTCAACCTCCCAAAGCAATACTGCTTAACACGCAACTTACATTCATAACCTACTCAATCTACTATTGTGGTGCCAACATAGCACGTTGGGATAGGCATTTTATTTTGATGAAAAATTGGATAGAGTAAAGTGATTGTTGTAATTATCATTGGGAAATGATTATAGACTACTGGACAGAAAAAAAGAGAGAAAAAGCTAATCATTGGACTCCAGAGATCAAATATGTCTATATTAAGAATCGCGCGACTTTCTCACCAACAACAACACACAACTAGAGAGATATAACAAGAGATGGGGAGATTGACTGCGTCTATGTGTTTGTCAATGAGAAAGAAGAATAGATTTGATTGATTTATAAGAAATTTGCCCAAAATGTGACTTTAATACTTATCCTCAAACTTCCCGATTTTATAATTTTTAAAAAAATTGGTTGATTTTCACTTTTTTAATAAAATTTTAAGAATGCAGACCATTTGTAATTTGTAATATAAAATAAGACGAATTTTAATAAATTTATCTGACAATCTTAAATAAATTTATTTAACGGTCACTAATATTTTTTTTAAAATTATTCGTATTACGTTGGGTTTTTAGACACAAATTACTCTTACTGCGGTAATAGAATCGACGGATTGTGAGAACACTCTGCTAAATACGGAATATTTTTGCCTAAACGTGACCGATGCATTGACCGCGTGTGGCACATTTCCTATACCTTTTTTTTTCTTTTCCCTAATCTCCGTTGTTTTAGAGGCTTTTAGGTTTGAAGGGAGATATTCCATAAATAGAAAGTAATTGAAGTCCAAAATCGTAAAATCACACGCTTCGGAACGATGATTTTATTAAATGTCTGAAATCGGCACTATTGAGCATTGACTCAACTCAGCTGGCCCTTTCTTCACTCTTTTTGGGGACAGGCCAGCAAGTGCCCTCATAAACTCCGTCTCTCTCTTATCTACTCTGACCAAACTCATCTCTACCTCTCTATCTCTCTAAAGCCCTTTGGATGGCCTCTTCGACTCCACCACCGCACTACACTCTCACCACCTCGAAACCCTACGAAAACCACCACTTCCACCATCTCCAGAACCACCATCAACGGAACCAACGCCATAACCACCCCTGGACTTCCCAAAAGGTCTCTCTTCACCGCTCCTCACAAACTCAACCAACCCAAAATGCAGCCAAGCCACCAACCCCTGGTCCCACCACCACCACCACCACAGCTCCTTTGTCCCGAAATTCTAATTTTCCCTCCCTTTCTTCATCTAAATCAGAACTTGCTGCCGATTTCTCTGGCCGACGATCCACCCGATTCGTCTCCAAAATGCATTTCGGCCGCCCGAAAACCGCCTCCACGAGCCGCCACACCTCGACTGCAGAAGAAGCTCTCCAACAGGCGGTTCGGTGCAGTGGAGACGATAAATGTATAGATAACATATTACGTAGTTTCGAATCAAAGCTTTGTGGGGTAGATGATTATACATTCTTGCTTCGAGAGCTCGGAAATCGGAGGGAGTGGTCAATGGCGATTCGATGTTTTGAATTTGCGATTCGCCGTGAAAAGAGACGCAATGAGCTGGGTAAGCTTGCTAGCTCAATGATTAGTATTCTTGGTAGGTTAGGTAAAGTTGATTTAGCCAAAAAAGTGTTCGATGATGCGGTGAAAGAGGGATATGGGAACACTGTTTACGCATATTCGGCTTTAATTAGTGCTTATGCAAAGAGTGGGTACTGTGCTGAGGCCATTAGGGTCTTTGAGACCATGAAAGATTCCGGCTTGAAGCCGAATCTGGTGACCTATAATGCTTTAATCGATGCTTGTGGAAAAGGGGGTGCGGATTTTCGAAGGGCGTCTGGAATTTTCGATGAAATGTTGAGAAATGGGGTGCAGCCGGATAGGATTACCTATAATTCGCTTCTTGCAGTTTGTAGTGGTGCAGGGTTGTGGGATACAGCGCGAAGTTTGTTTAGTGAGATGGTTTATAGGGGTATTGATCAGGACATTTATACTTATAATACGCTATTGGATGTTGCTTGCAATGGTGGGCACATTGATGTGGCTTTTGAGATAATGGTGGAGATGACCACAAAGAATATCTTGCCTAACGAGGTGACTTATAGTACTATGATTCGTGGGTGTGCCAAGGCAGGGAGACTGGACAGGGCTTTAAGTTTATTCAATGAGATGAAATATGTGGGCATTAAGTTGGATAGGGTGTCTTACAACACTTTGCTCGGTATTTATGCCAGCCTTGGAATGTTTGAGGAAGCTTTGAATGTTGGCAAGGAGATGGAGAGTATTGGGATTAAGAAGGATGTCGTGACTTACAATGCCCTTCTGGATGGATTTGGGAAACAAGGCATGTATGATAAGGTTAAGGAACTATTCCTAGAAATGAAATCAGAACATCTTTTGCCAAACCTGTTGACATACTCGATATTAATTAGTGTGTACTCAAATGGTGGGTTGTATTGGGAGGCAACAGTGGTGTATAGAGAGTTCAAGCAGCAAGGTTTGAAGGCAGATGTTGTGTTTTATAGTAAACTTATTGATGCTTTGTGTAAAAAGGGGCTGGTTGAATCTTCTGCTTTATTGCTTGATGAGATGATGAAGGAAGGGATTCAACCAAATGTTGTTACCTACAATTCCATCATCAATGCATTTGGTCAGTCAGAAACTACTGAATGTGCAGCCGATGGTGAGTCACAGATTGACCACTCACCTTTGATGGTTCTTGAGGATGTCGCTGAAAGCAAGACTGAAGACACAGAACAAGATAGGATAGTAAACATTTTTGAACAGTTAGCTGCTGACAAATCATGTCATGCAACGATAGATACAAGGGGCGGACAGGAGATTCTCTGTGTATTGGGAATTTTTCAAAAGATGCATGAGCTGAATATAAAACCCAATGTTGTCACCTTTTCAGCAATTCTCAATGCTTGCAGGTAAACCTAGCTCTCTGATTCCTTCCATCTTTCACTCAGTTTACATCATCTTGCATAAAATAGTACAAGTCATCTAGATTCCATCTGCATTTCTATATTTTTTTATTTGTTGCATTGATTTTTTGCTTTCTTGTTAGATTTCTTTGATTGTTATCGCTGTCTCATTGATGTCTTCCCACATTTTTACCTGACTGGGCCAGATTAACCAATATAATAACATATCCGTGGTGCATTAGGATCACAAACGGGAACACACTCTATCTAGTATTTTCTTTGACAAAAGGGTAAGTTGAGCATGAGAACTAGAAACATAGGGATGCAATTTAATATTCTTTTCTGAAGTATCTATTCTCAAGTACACTCTGATTATGAAGCTTATGCATAAAGCATACATAAGTACCATTCTACCAAAGGCATAGGTAGATAGCATAATGGAAAGCCACATACAAAATCAAGATGGTTAAAGGCACAAAGGGCTTGCCCCATATAAGTGTCTGATAGGGCATTCACATTCTGAGAATTGCAAATTTGTGATTAGTGGGTAGGTGTTAAACTGCACAATTTCTTAGTAATAATTATAGCCATGGTACACAAGCCAGGGTGAAAGTGTACAAAGGGTAGTCTGTTGCTGCCTATATGGTGAATACCTTCCAACTGTTACAGTTCTGTTCACGTGTCTTGTTGCTTGTCTGTGCAGCCTCTGTCCAGGGAACCCTCAACCTGAGACTATAATGTGCATAGGGTGGAATTAATGATTGGCACCGAGTCAAGAATCCAGTCGGACTTGGTCTTTCTATTCTTAGTTGAAGTAGATAAATCACTAAGTAATTACCAAAAGGAACAGAAAGAAAATAGAAAGGAAGTGTTGAAGGTTATATGTACTTTTTGATATGCTCCTTCTGAAAACCCGTAAATTATTTCCTAAAACATTTACTTTTTAATGTGGCCCCCAATAGTAAACATTTCAGATCTGAGTAATGTACCTCTGAGCAGAATGTTCGGTAATTTGTTTGTTGACCTGGCAATTTTCTTTTCCATGCAGAACACTGAAAATTAAGCTTATCATACAGCATCATGTTCCTTGATTGAACAAGCTTGTAATTTCTTTCCCCAAATTACATAGTATGGCAATAGTTGTTGTCCTTCAGTTTATCAGTGCCAGACTGATGAAGTCACTAGTTGTACTCTGTAGGATTTTGGGAATTTTTTTGCTGCTTGTTCCCTCTTCTGTAAAATCTCCCAACTCTTTTGGTAGCATATGTGTTTTGTGAAATAGTGACTGAATTTAAGGTGTAATCTCAGCTGTGTAATTTGGATTCGAATTGCAGCCGGTGTAGTTCATTTGAAGAAGCTTCATTGTTGTTGGAAGAACTTCGTTTGTTCGATAATCAAGTCTATGGTGTGGCACGTGGACTTCTCATGGGCGATAGGGCAAATGTATGGGTGCAAGCTTTATCCCTTTTTGATGATGTGAAGCAGATGGACTCTTCAACGGCATCTGCCTTTTATAATGCTTTGACTGACATGCTGTGGCATTTTGGTCAGGTAACGTCTAGAACTATCTATTAATCGCCAGTGCATATTTTTTTTTTGGGGGTAAGGATCCACAGTTCATGATCACTAGATTAGAACACTGTAATTTAGACAGTTGCTTAAAAAAAACCCTGTTTGATACTGAACCCAGCTATAATTGTGATTTACATAGCTGCTTGCCTCTCCATATGTGTGTCAGTGTGTGTGTGTGTGTGAGAGAGAGAGAGAGTCTGCCTGTCTGTCAGTGAAATTGAACATTTTGACATTAACTAAAGCTTCATTTTGTAATGTAAGTGCTAAGCACAAGATGGCTTATTTTTTGCAAGCTGCCGTTGACCCGCTATCTAATGACTAGGTTATCACTGTCTGTAGAGACAGTAGAGAGATCGTCTGGTTGTAAATTAGAACCAATTTTCAATACCAGGTCATTTAGTTAGCTCCCTGATGTGTAATATTTTACGAAGAGCTCAAATAAAAATAAGGAAAGCACAAAATTCATGCTACAAATATTGTAAAAATGGTTCCAGAATATTTGTAATGGGTTGTTTTGATTTTTTCAACTTTTACTGACAAGCAAGATGATGAAAATTTGCCCAAGGAAAAATGGTATTGCCAAAGGAGCAATGGCAGTTGCTCAAAGCATTCATGCTTTGAGCACCTGTACTGTTTGCTTCTACAGCTCTACATCTCTTTGGCAGCAATCCAAACTGCATTGGCTATGCCCTTATGGAAATCAATCAGTATTATCTGTACTTTGCAACGTTTTTAGCCACTACAGTATCTTCTTTGATTTTTTATCACCAGGGGCCTTGAACGTTGATTTTTTCCTAGTTCTGCAGGCTCTCTTTGATGTCCCTGTATTTTTTTGATAGGAAACAAACTCTCTTATCAGGGACATATATTTGTTTTGTCATCCTCCTTTGATTACTGTCAAGTAAGGGGAGTTAAATCTTTGAATACAAAAACAGCCTTATATTTCTTTAGAATTATTATAACATAAAAATTTAATGCAGCTGTGAAATTGACCAGTAAACTTTCTTCTAATCGTGACATATGAATAATCATAGGAGTCTTCTAGTGTACAGGTCCCACAGAATGCACTGACTCAATATTTGTTCCCTGTTACTTCTCTTTTGCTAGAAACGAGGAGCCCAATTGGTTGTGCTTGAAGGGAAACGTCGACACGTGTGGGAGAATACCTGGTCTGATTCTTGTTTAGATTTACATCTAATGTCTTCGGGTGCTGCCCGTGCAATGGTCCATGCTTGGTTGCTCAATATACGCTCTGTTGTGTTTGAGGGTCATGAGTTGCCAAAACTATTGAGGTATTTACGTTTGTAAACTATCTGAATCTCATCATTTCACAATTCAGGACTGTATTGGTCACTGTTTCAGCATTGTGCAGCATTTTAACAGGATGGGGCAAACACAGCAAAATAGTTGGTGATGGTACACTGAAGCGAGCCATTGAGGCGCTTCTCAGTGGCATGGGTGCTCCGTTCAGGGTTGCCAAGTGTAATATTGGGAGGTTTATATCAACCGGGGCAGTGGTGGCTGCCTGGTTGAGAGAATCAGGTACGCTAAAAGTGCTTGTTCTCCAGGATGACAGAACTCACCCACCAGAAACCATGAGGATTGATCATGTTTCCAATTTTCAAACGCTCCCATTGTAGTTGTGTATCATGTTGCTTTTGCGTTTTGGATTGTGCTTTTAAAATGTTAATTAATGCAAATTAAGTCATTACTAAATATGTATGTCCTCCTCCCCTCCCCCCTTTTCTTTCTCTCTCATCTTCTCTGGGTGTGTTTGTGTGAGGAAAACTCCCTTGTTTATATTTGGGACTGGGGTTGATGGACTTCCTGGTGATTTGTGTGTCAACAATAACAAACATTGTTTTTTTTTTTTGAGAAATGGATGATTTGATTTGAAGTTGTGACCTGACTTTTGTTATATCTAATCTATACTATTAATAAAAGTACCTTAAAGTGAAAAAATTTTGATTAATTATTTTATCTTCTTTAAAAAATTTAAAAATCATACTATCTTTTTATACTCAAATATCTAAATTACAATTACATCTTTTTGTATTTAAATTTCTAATTCCACTCTAATGTCTCTTTTAATTTTTTTATTATTTTTGTATAAATATCGATATCTATGAAAAATTTTAATTGACTATATTATTCTTAAAAAAAATATATGCATCATTATAGTTTTTAATAAAGTGTTAAAAAACTCCATCATATTTTATTACTCTTTTCAAATATAAAGATAACATTATGTGTGTGTGTATATATATATATATATATTTTAAATACCACATTATCCTTTTCGTAGTTGAATATCTAAATTATCATAATATATTTATAAGTTTAAATTTCTAAATTATCCCTAACATCTTTTTTAATTCTCTATTTGCTGTGTATAAATATCAGTATTTATGAATTTTTTAATTGGTTACGTTACCTTTAAAAAATATATGCATCACTATAATTTTTAATAAAATGTTCAAAAAATTTTCAAGAACTTCCTCAATATAATATTATTCATTTCAAATATTAAGATAGCATTATGCTTACATGTGTATTTTTTTTATCCAAAATTTCAGTTATTTTATTTTTAAGATAAAAAATAATTTTTTATGTATTTTTTAAAAATAATTTATGTTAAATCAATATAATTCTTCAATCACTATACAGTAATATATTATAATTTAGGGTTAATAACACTTTTAGTCCTTGGAATATGTATTTTTTGACAGTTTAGTCGTCATTGTATCAATTTTGTTAATTTGCTCCTTAAAATGATTCATACACAGACAGCCTGTTAAATTTTTGACAAAAGTGATCATGTACTGGTCACGTGATATTGTCTGACGGAAATGACACGTGATCACTTTCATTAAAAAAACTTAACAGACCGTCTAATTAAGGACCATTTAAACAAAAACTGAATATTTTAGGAACAAAAAATTATAGAATAAGATAACTATAAATCACAAGAATATGTACAGATTAGATAAAAAATCAGAATAATATGTCCATTGATATTAATTATTATTCACAATTAAGAAAATTAGGTAGACATAGATCATGACTCTTCCACTATGTATTAACTATGATTTATAACATCATTTATAACATAGTAATATACTTTTTCACCTTTTCTTATCCTCCACTAAACGATTGTCTGCCGTTAGGGAAATTAAGTAGATAACGATATCATTTATATCTCTTAATTTTCTTTTGTTTAACATTGTTTTTGAATAAATTCTTTCTCCTAGAAAATGGGACAAAAATCTTTCGACCGTCATACAAACCAGTTGAAAAACCTTTTAGCTTATCTCTCTTTCCATCCATTTTGAAAACCTTTTTATCCTCTCCCTCTCTCAAATATCACTTTGAAATCGGATAAATTATATATATATTTGTTATTAAAATTTTATATATAAAAATTATTCACGTACAACGCATGTGGTGCATTGCTAATACTTTTTAAAGGTGGTATGTTGAGTGACTGGATCCTGTCAAGTTCTTTGTTTAAAATTAAAATTTTCACCTGTGTTTCCCTGTCCTTCTAAGTGAAGTTTGAATGGAACACACACTGCTGTCCCTTTTACTCTTTCTTTAACACGGATTATGTTTCCTCAACTCCATGACAAAATGTAGTGCCCGGGCTATTATCTATTTATATTAATGCTCCGTCTGATAGCAAAGATGAAAAATATGAGGAATACATTTTCTATCCTTTAAGGATGAAAAATAGAAATAATACATTTTATTTTCTTTGTGTTTGGTTGGATGGATAAAAAATAAAAATGACTATTTTTTTTTTGTGTTGGCTAAGATTAAGGGTGACAATCGAGTCATGTTATATCAGATTCGTATTGAGTCATTACGGATTTGTGTCGAATATTAATCAAACATAATTTAACTCATTTAACTAATTGTGTCGTGTTGAGTTACGAGTTGACCTGTTTATTTTCTTATCGAGTTCGAGTTGTATCATCGTGTTGAGTCGAAAATTTTCATCCATAATTAAAATAAAAAAAAAATATATATATATATATTTTATTTTTTTTAAATTTTTTTTTAATATATATATATATATATATAGACAAATAAGATACATCTCAAGATAAATAATTAACTTTTTATCCACTTTCCTTCCAATTTTGGAAAGATTAATTTTGGTGAGTTGAAAGGAAAGTTAATCCATCCACTTTTCCATCCTTCCTATTTTTCTTCCTTACAAAATATAATATTTTATTTATCCTTCAAACTTTTCATCCTCTTACTTTTTCATCGTATCAAACAGAACATAATAATATTTAAATTTATTTATATGTAATACATGTCGTGCATAGTTAGTCTAATAAAATCTTAAAAGCTTTATTTATTGTTAGGAATTCACCTATATAAAATTTGAAAAGTGAAGTGAAGCTTATTGCAAAAGCAACTCCCCACCACGTGAGACCATGAAAAATAAAAAATGATTTATTTATTTTTGGGTATACATTATGGGCTCGTTTGGTTGTCGTATTAAAAATGAATGGATTAAATAAAATAATATAGTCTAATAAAATATAGATGTATTAAAAATAATATTAAATATGATATTATAATAATACGTAATTTTATCTAATATTTGACAATACACAATATAAGCGTTGGATAGTCGTTATTTAATCTAATTAGTTGTTTGGGTAAATTAACAAAATATCCTCAATTAGTGTTTGTTACATTGATGACAACTTGATTTAATCGCTTAGGGGTTTATAATAGTAAATGTGTAGAATAATACGTTTGAGTTTGATTATAATATCACATTTCTTAGTAGTATTAAAAAACTTCTATAATACAGATTTATCATATAAAAAATATACGATAAGTATATGATTAATATACGTTTTTTTAAATTAATGCAATATTAAATTTGTTTACCAAATAAAGTATTAGACCCGATTAAATAAAAAATAGTACAATCAAATATTTAATCCCTTCATAAAACGTCTACCAAACAAACTCTATGAGTATGCCGACAAAATGAAAAAAGAATTTAAACCGCATCCTTCCAAGGCCTCAAAAAATGCACCCCTCCCTCTATAAAGGACCAAAAAAAAACGATTTGAATAGAGAAGGGACCCTCGAGAGGAATGATTTGAAGATCTTATTCTGGTTGGAGGAAAAGTAGATTCATGAAGCATGGATTCGAAAATCACAAAAAAGGGTGGTCACTTTATATCTTTAACAAAAGATTTTCTTTTTACCCTTCTGTCTCATGCCAGAAAGAACAACCTTTGTAGAATCTTGGTGACTTACCATGTCTTAATTCATCAACGCAATAATTTCCTAAACTTTTCGTTTTCTGTTTTTTTATAAATGGGGAATATGGGGCTGTGGGTGGTCCTAGAATTTCGTGTTTCGTAGTATGACAACCTTTGGGATAACGTTGGAATCTTCGAGTGTTAATGATTGCATTAAGTTGGTTTGACGAGGAAACCATATTTTTGGTAAACTTATTCTCCTAAAAAAAAAAAAAAGTGGTGAAATAAAGTTTTTATACGTAGATTTTCATAGATAACAATAAGATATCATTTTCTCAACAATTTTCTATCGTCTTCGGTAAATAAATTGAATTTTTCTTTTAATTCGAAGAAGTAAGGCAACCCTTATTAAGTATGGTAGTGTTCAAATCCAATTAATCTCTAATATGACTATCTGGTCTAGTTCCCCGACCCCTTCAATTTTACAAGAATTGGATGGTCATTTATTATGGTAACCTTCAATGTAGTGGGCCTGGGCCTTTCCACTGAAGGTGTGGAAAAATTATTTCCTTTTTTTGGTTTTAATTAAAGCTAAAAAATTTAATCTAAAAATTCAATATAAAACTAACACAAAATTAGTGAAAATATATGAATCCAACCTCAACCAATTGCCGAAAGCAAATGACATGTTTTTTAATTACAAAAAAAAATATTTTAATTATTTACATACTACAAGCAAAACTTGATGGCACGGTGATCAAGTTTGTGTTATCCAAAACACAAGTATTATTGATTAAATTATCATTTTATTTCGCGGTGTAAGAGCTGATGGAGTCAGCTTCCCATCTACCAATCTTTGTTTACCACATATACTAATTTTGAAGACCAACGGAAATAATATTAAAAATACAAAAAACACCCCCGAAAAAGCCTCCCTCCTTATTATGTTAAAATAACATTAGCAAGATCACAATCACGTCGCTTGAAAATTTCCAGTTCCCAAGTCTCTCTACCTTACTCGTACATTGGTATTATTCCAGAACTCTCTCTCTCTCTCTCTCACGAAAAAAAAAAAATTCAATACAACGGTGATGCCATATCAATAATAATAATGTGATATTATCAATTAATAATAAAATATTAAGTAAATAAAGTAAATCCTACTTTAATAGTTATTGACTGAGAAAATTAGATAGTTATTTGATTATTTGATTAATTAATTAATTTATTTTAATACTATTAATTAATAATATCATATCAACCTTATGACATGATATCATGCAAAACCATGAAATAAAGTGTTATTGTTCGAAAATCAAAGGAACCGACCCACCCCCAAGATTTTCCCACGAAAATTGAAAAAAGAGAGTTTGCCCACCAAGAAAGAAGGTGGGTACTTGCGGAAAACAAACGTGCATGGGGCATGCACTCATATCCAAGTGACACACATGCATCCATTTTTTATTCCTGGTACTATTTCCCCAGAGTACCAGAAGAAAGAAGAAAGAAGAAAGTGCACCGCAGAGACCCACACCCAATGACCAATCCAGTCATCGTCAACCGTCCAAGCCCTCAACTTATTTGGATAACATGCTTGATTCTATATTATAATCATTTTGTACACACTCTCTTGATTCTATATTTTAATCATTTTGTACACAATCTCTTCTAATTTCTCTATATATATCCGTGTTTCTTCCCTCATCTCTCCGTGCAACTGTAAGTCAGTAACCAACACGATCGCTTGAGTTCTTTCTTTTTCTCCGTTCTTCACTGATCTCTCTTTCCACCTTCCTTATTCGTGCCATATATAGAAAGATTTTTCCGGAGATATTTCCTGTGTGATTGCTCTATTCGGCTTACTGCCTTACCATATCTGTAACGTATCGCAAAGATTGTGCATTATAATTGTGGTTAATAGAAAAATTGGTCAAAATTTGTTCTACCTTCCTTCATTGCGTTGATTTTGATTTGGTTGAGATTGGATTTCAGAAGAATTGCATTCCATATTCAGAACCATTTGCAAACTATTTCAACCCTTTATCCTTCATAATCACAACCAAAGGTTTCCTTGGGCTTCGAGTTTATAAGTTTTATATTCTCTTCTTTTGTGATTTGTGATCTCTGTTCTTCCCCTGCTTTCCTTTGTTCTTTCTCTGTTTTCTACCGCCATGGCACCCCCTAATGATCCCGTTAACTCCAGCTTCACTGTCCTGAAATCTGATAAGGACAACTTATTTGATTTGTCTGATGGTAAACTCTCTCTGAAAAATGTGCCATTGCTCTCTGAAGTTCCTAGCAATGTCTCTTTCAAAAGCTTTTCTTCATTATGTCAATCCTCTGATGCGCCACTTCCCTTGTTCCAGCGCGTCCAGTCCATATCGTTTAAGGGTGGGTTCCTTGGATTCAGTAAGGAGGAACCATCCAATAGGCTGATGAATTCCCTTGGCAAGTTCAGCCATAGAGGTTGTCTTAGCATTTTTCGGTTCAAAACATGGTGGTCTACCCAGTGGGTTGGGAGTTCTGGGTCAGATTTACAGATGGAGACCCAGTGGGTACTCTTAGACGTCCCTGAAATAAGGTCTTATGTCCTTATAGTCCCAATAATTGAAGGGAAGTTTAGGTCAGCACTTCATCCTGGCACTGATGGTCATGTCATGATTTGTGCTGAAAGTGGTTCTACTCAAGTGAAAGCATCATCTTTCGATGCAATCGCTTATGTCCATGTGTCTGAAAATCCCTACAACTTGATGAAAGAGGCTTATAGTGCTCTTAGGGTCCATCTCAATACCTTTAGGCTGTTAGAAGAGAAATCAATCCCACCTCTTGTCAACAAGTTTGGTTGGTGCACTTGGGATGCATTCTATTTAACCGTAGAACCTGCTGGAGTTTGGCACGGTGTGAAGGAATTTTCCGATGGAGGCATTTCCCCTAGGTTTGTCATCATTGACGATGGCTGGCAAAGCATCAATCTTGATGGTGAGAACCCACATGAGGACGCAAAAAATCTTGTTCTAGGTGGGACTCAAATGACTGCAAGGCTTCAAAGGCTTGATGAGTGTGAGAAATTCAGAAAGTACAAGGCTGGATCCATGTTAGGTCCTAATCCTCCTCCATTTGATCCAAAGAAGCCAAAGATGTTGATCTCAAAGGCAATCGAGCTTGAGCACGTCGAGAAGGCTCGTGACAAGGCAACTCAATCTGGGGTTACTGATTTATCCCAATATGAATTACAGATTGAAAAATTTAAACAGGAATTGAATGAAATGTTTGGAGGAGGAGAAGAAACTATTTCCACCCAAGGCTGTGGAAGCTGTTCTTGCAAAGCTGAAAGCTTTGGAATGAAGGCTTTTACTAAAGATTTGAGGGAAAATTTCAAAGGATTGGATGATATTTATGTTTGGCACGCTCTGTGCGGTGCATGGGGCGGGGTGAAGCCAGGAGCAACCCATCTCAATTCGAAAATAGTTCCTTGCGAAGTCTCTCCTGGACTAGATGGGACAATGACAGATCTTGCAGTGGTGAAAATTGTTGAAGGCAGCATAGGGCTTGTTCATCCTGATCAAGCAGATGATTTCTATGATTCAATGCATTCCTACCTTTCTAGAGTTGGAATCACAGGAGTTAAAGTGGACGTCATTCATGTAAGAGTTTTACCTATCTCATCGATATTGAAGATGTGAATCATATTCCGTCATTGTACTCTAACCACTCTAGCCTATATTTTCTTTTAATCTGCTAGCTAACTTCTTAAGTGACTAAAATGTGCTTTTTGATGCAGACACTGGAATATGTGTCTGAGGAATATGGAGGCCGGGTTGAGCTTGCAAAGGCTTACTATAAGGGGCTTTCGAAATCCCTTTCAAAGAACTTCAATGGTACTGGACTCATCTCTAGCATGCAACAATGCAATGACTTCTTCCTGCTTGGGACTGAACAGATTTCTATTGGAAGAGTTGGTAAGAAAGTTTGATCAAATGGTCCCAAGATTTCTATTGTAATCTGTTTTTCATTTTCACATGATCTTTAATTTAGTTACACTTGGATGACTTCTATAGGTGATGACTTCTGGTTCCAAGATCCAAATGGTGATCCAAATGGCGTCTACTGGCTACAAGGGGTTCATATGATCCACTGTGCCTACAACAGCATGTGGATGGGTCAGATCATACAGCCCGATTGGGATATGTTTCAATCGGATCATCTGTGTGCGAAATTCCACGCTGGATCAAGGGCAATATGTGGGGGGCCTATCTATGTGAGTGATTCAGTGGGTGGTCATGATTTTGATCTCTTAAAGCAGCTTGTGTTCCCTGATGGTACCATTCCCAAGTGCCAGCATTTTGCCCTTCCAACAAGAGACTGCATCTTCAAGAATCCACTCTTTGACGGCAAGACCATTCTCAAGATCTGGAATTTCAATAAGGTATCAATTTCAAAGCCCCTTGACTACTTTACATTAATACGTGTCCCTTCCATAAACTTTTTTTTTTTTTTTGGGGGGGCGGGGGGGAGTCCCTTCCATAACTGCCTCTGCTTTCAATTTCAAAGCCCCTTGATTAAAATAGCCTATTGAGTTATCAGTTCTCCACTTTGGGTATGTTGGTGACACTATATGTTTCCAGTTTTCTATATATAGAAAATTCAAACCTAACTGTCAAAACCCAAATAAGCTTGTTCATTTGAGTTTAGATGATTATTTTCAATCAAGCTTTACTTAATTTTTTGCATGTTTTACAGTATGGAGGGGTTATCGGTGCCTTCAACTGCCAAGGAGCCGGTTGGGACCCTAAGGAACAAAGGATCAAAGGCTACTCACAATGCTACAAACCAATGCCGGGTTCAGTTCATGTGAGCGAGATCGAATGGGACCAAAAGAAGGACGCAGCTGAAATGGGTGAAGCTGAGGAGTATGCAGTCTACCTTAGCAAGGCCGAGAAACTGTTCTTGACAACGCCCAAGTCTGAAGCCATTTTAATGACCATTCAACCATCTACTTTCGAGATTTTCAGCTTTGTGCCAATCAAGAAGCTCAATCTGACCACCAAATTCGCCCCAATTGGAGTCACCGACATGTTTAACAGTGGAGGGGCCATACAAGTGTTGGAGTACAATGAAGGTGGTGCTACTGGTAAGAATAATGTGAAAATTAAGATTAAAGGTGGTGGGAATTTCTTAGCCTACTCGAATGTGTCACCAAAGAAGTGCTGCTTGAATGGTGCTGAAGCTGGCTTCGAGTGGTCAGGAGATGGCAAATTGGCCTTGAAGCTCCCCTGGATTGAAGAGGCTGGTGGCATTTCTGATGTGGCTTTTATCTTTTAAATTCGTGGATTGGATTGGTGTGCTAAGGAGTTTGAGTGCCGTTACAATTAAGTCATTTTAGTGTTTAAGGTTGCTATATATTGTTGGATCTGTGGAAGTTATATATGCTCTCCACTAGTATTTATACAGTTGGCCATTAGGGACAAAGATTTGATTTGGTTCCTTTGTTAATTTGCTTTCATTTTGAGGTTGCTTTTTTCATCTGTTTTACTATATATATATATATATATATATGAATTGAGAAAGAAATACCCTTTAGCACAACTTCTCGTTTAAATGGTTGCTGCTTCAAATTTTGTTAGCTACTGCAGAACATAATTTCCATGAGGTAGCAAANTTTTTTTTTTTTTTGGGGGGGCGGGGGGGAGTCCCTTCCATAACTGCCTCTGCTTTCAATTTCAAAGCCCCTTGATTAAAATAGCCTATTGAGTTATCAGTTCTCCACTTTGGGTATGTTGGTGACACTATATGTTTCCAGTTTTCTATATATAGAAAATTCAAACCTAACTGTCAAAACCCAAATAAGCTTGTTCATTTGAGTTTAGATGATTATTTTCAATCAAGCTTTACTTAATTTTTTGCATGTTTTACAGTATGGAGGGGTTATCGGTGCCTTCAACTGCCAAGGAGCCGGTTGGGACCCTAAGGAACAAAGGATCAAAGGCTACTCACAATGCTACAAACCAATGCCGGGTTCAGTTCATGTGAGCGAGATCGAATGGGACCAAAAGAAGGACGCAGCTGAAATGGGTGAAGCTGAGGAGTATGCAGTCTACCTTAGCAAGGCCGAGAAACTGTTCTTGACAACGCCCAAGTCTGAAGCCATTTTAATGACCATTCAACCATCTACTTTCGAGATTTTCAGCTTTGTGCCAATCAAGAAGCTCAATCTGACCACCAAATTCGCCCCAATTGGAGTCACCGACATGTTTAACAGTGGAGGGGCCATACAAGTGTTGGAGTACAATGAAGGTGGTGCTACTGGTAAGAATAATGTGAAAATTAAGATTAAAGGTGGTGGGAATTTCTTAGCCTACTCGAATGTGTCACCAAAGAAGTGCTGCTTGAATGGTGCTGAAGCTGGCTTCGAGTGGTCAGGAGATGGCAAATTGGCCTTGAAGCTCCCCTGGATTGAAGAGGCTGGTGGCATTTCTGATGTGGCTTTTATCTTTTAAATTCGTGGATTGGATTGGTGTGCTAAGGAGTTTGAGTGCCGTTACAATTAAGTCATTTTAGTGTTTAAGGTTGCTATATATTGTTGGATCTGTGGAAGTTATATATGCTCTCCACTAGTATTTATACAGTTGGCCATTAGGGACAAAGATTTGATTTGGTTCCTTTGTTAATTTGCTTTCATTTTGAGGTTGCTTTTTTCATCTGTTTTACTATATATATATATATATATATATGAATTGAGAAAGAAATACCCTTTAGCACAACTTCTCGTTTAAATGGTTGCTGCTTCAAATTTTGTTAGCTACTGCAGAACATAATTTCCATGAGGTAGCAAAGTTTCAGAAAGAATCAAGCTGAAAAAAACAGCTGCAAACGCTCTCTCTCTCTCTCCAGTTTTTGTTCAATGGAGAAGTAAGGGGAGTGTAAACCACAAAACAGAATATTTGTAATTTGTTCCGATCTAACATTAACTTTTGCACCATCCTGGTTTGGGGTGTTAATCGAGCCAAATTTTGTGAAGTTCAACGTAAACATGACAAACTTGTTTTTTTAAACGAGTCTAATTTTTTTTTCGAGTTCGGCTCGGCTCAAGTTCTATTACCAACTGACCGTAGCCTAAGTCGTCTTTATTGAAGAATTTTTTGTTTCGACTCTTTGATTCTTTTGGTGTTCATTTTCACATGTGAAAATCCCACATCCAATTAAATATATATATATATATATATATTAAAAGTGTCCTAGATAAACTATATATCAAAGAAGCAAAACCCAACTTTTTTATTTACTACTATGACTACTAGGGATCTCAATTCAATGTACATGTTAATATCTGCACCACCGGTAACTTTGACGATCTTGCTTAATGTGGAGTCACTGACTAGTTTTATCCATTCAATTACTTTATTATTGTAGGACACCGACTCTAATACCCTTTTTTGATAAATAATGCATGTATTACCTGGAAAGAAAAGGGAAACATAGAGGAGTAGGAGGAAGAAAATGACGGGCACATGAACGAACAAGTTATTTAACAAGATTGCTTCCAGGTTTCAATTCAAGCTTACATAAAATATGTTGGCGAAATTTAAGACATCAGCAGCAGAGAGAATGCCAAGAGAAATCTCTATAAAATCAATTTCTCGCTTCTAATGGACATTGCGTGCTCATCAAAAACATGAGGCGGAAAAAATAATTAAATTAATATTGCAACTTTTTCTATTAGTACATTTAACCCTTCTTAGATCTTGTTGATGGGATTTTAGGAGCCTAACCTTGAACAGGAAAAAAAATTGATTCCAACCAAAAAACGCTTGGATAGAGAGAGAGAGAGAGAGCATATCCAACAGGATCAGCAGATAGATACCAATGTATGTATTAAGCAAGTCAATGTCGGTTTGTATCCCTTCAACCTTCCCAACAAAACAACACTAATTCGAGACAAAGAGTTGATTAGTCATATAAAGGCATGTGGTGTTAGTTTAGTGTAGACATATGACGACTTTTTCAAAGGGGTTGTCCACTTATCCATATCACATAGAAAAATGGTAGGCCCTTGCACCGACCAACTGGGAAAAAACTGGAAGTATCACGGAAAAGTGTTCAATGTTAGACCACCAACTGTTCAAAAAAAAAAAAAACTGTAAGGCTAACTGAGTAACTAACTAACCAGAAAAAAAAAAACTAATCAACTACCTAACCAACCCAAGTTTAAATCTATCTTGCAACAAGTTGTTAAATCTATCAAAATCTCTGAATATTACTTGCTAAGCCTGGGATGAGTTGTTGGATGTTACTTTCACAATGAAGATTTTGTATATTATCTTCATAATCCTATCACTGTTTTTTTGGTGAGTTTTTATTTTTATCTTATCATTTTATTTGATCTTGAAAAAAGATTGGAGGTTGTCAGTCGGGCTAATGACCATTGCCTTGATCTTAAAATTGCGGGTTCAAATCTCGTTTTTTTTTGTTATGACAAAAAATAAAATAAAGGATTTTTTGAAAGTCGGCCCACATTTGTAGACTTTTGGAAGAAGCAGAACATGTGCGTTCTTTTTGAAACTTAAAAACAACTAAAAGCAAAAAGATTAATTTACCCTTAAATAAATAGATCTATTACAAAAATGGACAATAATAATAAGATGATAACAACAACAACAAGACAGTAATAGTAACAAAGACACAATAACAGTAACAACAAGACAATAACAGTAACGATAACAATTACTGTCATAGTAACACGATTACATTAATAGCAATGCCCATGTGGGTGGAGTGTAAGGGACGATGACTGAGAATGAAGGTACTACAGAAGGTAATAAGGCTGGAGTATAGAATAGTGATGAACTAGATAGTAACACAACCACAGTAACAATAATAGTCACTGTCAAAATTATACGGAACTAGACAGTAACGTGAAGTAGACAACCACACGATCACAGTAATAACCACAGTCACTGTCAAAATTCTACGAAATCAGATAATAACATGAACTAAATCGCCCCACGATCATAGTAATAGCCATAGTGACAGTGACAGTGACAAATATAGTAAATTTCGTTATCATTGTTTAAATTTTACTGTTCAACAAATTTAAAGCGAATAATAATAACATCCATATCGTAATTCAACCTAAATATTTGATTTTTTTGAGGTCAGGCCACAAAAAAGGATAGGAGCATTCTTTTTGGGACATAAAGGACAATTAAAGACATAGAAACTAATTTATTCTTAATGACATAAATTGCTATATTAAAAAATAGACAGTAATAGTAACAACGACACAGGAAGCGTAAATTACATTTTTTGAGTTTTTTTTAAACTTTTATCTTACATTTTTCTTTTGAAAGAGACCGAAGGGAAGGTGTTAAGAATCAAGCTAAGATCCAAATTGCTTATTCCCAGCCCATTGTGTTTTTTTTGATCAAACCATCCCATTGATTTTAATGTACCAAATAATGAGGAATTTGCCTAAGGAGTACCGAAAAAAATGTGACAACGGCATGTGGCCCTTAGAGAATCGGCTTATTCCCAGCCCAATAAAACCCATCGCTGGAGTAACATTGGCTTATTCGTAACATTAATTTGTCCAGTTAACGGCCCATATTCAGTCTGAAAGTACTCTTAGGGCCGAAAGTAGCCGAGCAAAAAAAAATATATATATTTTATTGATGATTGTTGGATAAATTTATTTTCGAATGATCTTATTGACCTCTGTCTTATTTTATCTTATAGATTATAGATTGTTAAAATTTCTAACAGTTGAACGACAGAGACGACTCAGTCAACTAAGCTCTACATTAATTTTAGTCCCTTTTTTTTTTCTTTTTTTTTTTAAGCCATAAATTCATCTATATATAGATATTAGAGAGAGAGAGAGAGAGAGAGAGAGAGAGAGCTTACCATCACCAATATGCAGTATAACCTAATACGATGACAGCATATATATCTCTATGGTAATGAAGGTCACAAGCTAGAGGAGTTGGCTCCATTTTAAGCTTCTTCATCTAATTTTGGTCTGTTATAAGTTGAGCTGGAGTTGGACTAGTTAGGAAATAGGAAGAGACCCCAAGCCCGGTTGTAGAAGAATATAACAAGGGCTCCAATGAGAAACCTTCTTGTGTCAATGGCTAGTTTTTAATTAAAAAAACAAAAAAAATCTCCCCCTTTTCTTGTATGTTTTTTAGTTGGGTAATGCTGCTTCTTTTTTTCTCTTCCTAAAGAAAAGAAAAGAAAAAATAGTTTTTGTTGCCTGCAATGAAATGAAAGCAAATCAAAGGTTGACTGGCAGATAAAAGCATTAGTAGTAGTGAAAAATGGTACAAGTAATTAAATCGTAGCCTAGTGGGCTGAGAGAGAGGGGACCATCAAACTGGTCCTTTGGCAGAAAAATAATTGTTGTTGGTTTAGTGGAACCCAATTTAGGCGACAAGAGGCCGTCCTTTATAAATTCCTCAATCAGATCAGTATTATTTAATCCCTTGGTAAAAACCTAGCAAGATTGGTGCATTTCCAACGCCGTATATTGCATCAAGTTGGGACATGGTAATTACATCAATTTTATCAAGTTGGGACACACACACACACCCCAAGTCAACTAACCAAATAGTCCCGCAACAAAAATAATTTTAATTTATTGATTTTTCAATCACTTGAATTAGCACGCACGGCACATCTTGTTACAGTAATATGATTGTTCGATTATGAACTAAACGTCGAATATAACTATGTGTATGAAGCTAAGACTGCATACATTTATTACTTTCCAAAATTGTCTCTAGTTAATTGTCATTTAAAAGAACCAACAAAAAAAAAAAGAAATCACTGGTGAAATGAGATGCAAGTCATGAGGAAGGTGAAGTGCACCCTACCCTTTGTAATAAGAAGCTAAAATTGATAGTGGATATGGAGCGGGCAGTTGGGTTCGCACTTTGGCTCGAAACATGTTCCTCTGGAAGTTAGAAAGGAGTCGGCAGAGACTGATGCTTACTTAATAGGTGAGAGACCAAAAGTATTGGTTCTGTTTGGTTTACGTTTTAAAAAATAGTATTCGAAAATAATTTTTGAAAAAAATTTTAAGAAAGTGATTTTGATATTTTTTGAGATAAAAAATTTGTTTGATTAGATGATTTCAAAAATAATTTTACAATACAGAAAATAGTAAAACCTGTTTGGACAGTCTAAATATATATTTGAACAGTAATTCAAACATTAATAAAAAAATATAAAAAAATAATTTTTATATTCACAATTTCATAATATATATATATATCTGAACATTCAAAATTGTTCTACTTGTTTCCAAAATTTTCAAAGAAAACTCTGAAAACAAGTTCCACTTGTTTTCTGTTTCTTTGACTCAAATCTCATTTTTTTCTCAAAATTTAGAGAACAAAAATGCTAAACAAATAGATTTTTGATATTTTTAAAATTTGAGAATAAAAAACAATTTTCGAAAATTATACCAAACATGGCCTTAGCTTCTTCTTATTTTTTCTAG